AGGAGTCAAAGATCAGACCTGAGGAGACCCTAGCCGTGTGGATGGGACGCCTAGTTGTGGAATTTGGGTCTGATTTGTTGAACCTAGAAGAAGCAAGCTTCCTAATCCGGCGGGCCTTGTGGAGTAGAGGGCATGCCATTGACATCAATACAGTGATGTTCAACACTCATTGGCCCATTCTGCTTCAGGCGCTTGTAGCAGGACAAGTCAGTCAGGAATCTCACGCATGGCATGACGGCCGGCCGGAAAAAGCCAGTGCGGAGCAGCTTTTGCTGGCCGTGGTCGGAGTCTCGCTGGAACCCCAAAATGTGTGTACTGGGACTAACACCATCCCAACAGAGAGGGCCATGGCCTCACCGTTATCTGCGAAATCCTAAGATGGTGCCAATAAAGCTGGACAGCGTAAGAGTCTGTGTTGAGGTCTATGGGGGAAAGAACATCGTCCTCCGAGTTTTCCTCAACCCCATGGTTGGTCAACCTGCAAGCAACCTTTTGCGTCAGCTTTCATGATTGCGCATCCTCATGAAGTCGAGAACACCTAGCGACTGGGAGCATCGATCTACTATATACCCGATCGAGGCTCAGGGTGCAAGCCCTAGCGAATCTGATCAACCGTTGCCACAGAGAACGCCCGAGGAGTGAATCATGTTTGGGATCCTTGTAAACCATTCCGGGCTCACCAAATGACAGCTCCGAATCCTGGGGGATGCAGGCCAATGGCAACTGGCCTACAAACTGGGTTTTCAGTATCCAGACAAGCCAGACGACGACTCCTCGATGTTGTCGTCGACGTTTTCATCTTGCTGAACGTGGATAAAACCCCACGGTGTTTGCCACCCACTTCCGTGTCGGTTGTACGCACGAGCATGCAACAGAAAAATCATCCAGAGCGGAGCCGTGCCCGAGCACCTGTATTGTGTGCTGTGAGAAGAGGGGAGCGGCGACAGATCTTGCAGACTGCCCTATCGCGCACGGTTCCATGTACATATTGTAATATAGGTTAATTTATCATTTTGAGGATTCTCTTTCACAGGTCCAGGACTCAGAGTGCGTGGTGGAGGGAAGTCCCAAGAGAGAGACGGAGAACATAATTAAAGAAGCAAGGACTTGACTCGTGACTTCGCCATGACGCCCACTGAAGTCCTGATAGTTGAATTTCTAGTTATGAATATAATTATGTGTTTGTGTGTTAGTGCCGGCTATTATCTAATTCGGTCCCTAGAGGACGAACTCATTATGTTGTATGAATTTGTGTTTAACCGTTTGGTTTATGAACCAGCCGAGAGAGCTCATAATGACTCACACAATGCGCATGTGGTTTAAAATTCCGGTTGTGCCATCGGCAAGGGGGCATGTCATAACCCAATGATTTTTAGTGCCTCGGCACATTGGAATTTTCCCGCCACATGGAGCTTTCTTTGCACGGTGGATTTCTCAGTTGCAGAGAGAAATCCCTGGTGCAAAGTATTGGTCAATTCTAAATTATTCCTACGTGGCGGCTAGCAATTGGCTCGCTAGCCGTATAAAAGGTTAGAGCAGTTTCCGCCCAAGTTGGAGGACTCCACAACCACCTCGTGGAGAACTCTGAGCGCGCTGTGGAGCCTAGCAAACTCCGCGTGTGTCTTGGAGGAGGACAGAGAGGCCTGATCAGCTCTTAGCCACTCCCCGTCATAGTGTAATTTGACGTATCCCCCGTGTGAAGAAGCGCTCGTGGAGTCGTATATCGATGACTCATCTCGGTTCGGTGCGGTTCAGAAGAGATCTCACTTGTGTTTGTCTGTCTGCAACTGCAACTCAAGCAAGTTACCTCCCTGCACTGTGACCATCGGCAGTGTAAGTAAAGCTTTCTTTATAAAACCAATACGCTTCCGTGCCTAACTCTACTCCGTCGTGGAAAAACCCCACCTGACGGTCCGGGCTACTGGCCATAGCCTCAGACCGACCCTCGGTCCCGACACTATCTATTTAGATGTACAGTTTAACATTTTGAAAACTAAATATTCTTATCAAAAAGGAAAGGAAACACATGCTACAAAGTGAATTATTGTCAAACCTTGTTTACCTTGTGTAACTGATAGTACTGCTCAGCACCCACTCCTCCTTGCTCCTCCCCTGTCCACAGCACTAAGCGTAGAGTTCTCTTGGGACGAAGCCCTACAACATAAAATTAAATATTGCTTAGTCTGAAACATCCCATTGTCTTGAACAGTTTTTCATCAGCCTCCACTTTCCTAGGGTATATGTGAGTTACCATAAAACCACCATCTCTGTTCTATGACTTATCCAAGAATGAATGGACTCTGACACATTGTCTGAGGCAGAGTGGCAGATGAATGGCTTCCTTTGTGGGGTCAATATCAGAACTGCCTCATGGTTTGTGCAGAAGAGAAGCAAATCTGGAACAAACTCATTCCTAAAGATTAAAGAAAATAGGTTCCATAGTTATTCCTTTATTTAGGTGTCTACACAACACATGCTATGTATGGCCTGAGTCACAACAACTGAACACACTGTTTTCAACTTTAATCAAGACTTTAACCAAATTCTGGCATGGATCATCATTATCTTTACATTAATTAAAAATGATCAGTTAGATTTGTATAAAATGCCTTCAAGTAGTTCCAGCATTGAAAAACACTTGGATATACTTTTGCTATATATCAAGCTTTAATAATGGAAGAGAGAGAGTTGAACTTTAGAACCTTAAATACAATCAGCTGTTTGAGCAGATGCAAAGCTTTGGAAAGCATGACAAATGTGGGGCAATTCTAAATTTAACAATGACAGCTGAATGAGAAAGACAGGGTCTAGGATATACTCTGCAGTGGAGTTTAATAGTTTAATGCTGCAATAGACCTGGCACATAAATTTTGCCCTTTGAATTATTAACCTAAGTCTGTTAGAATGAGTGCATTTATTTTGTGTCACAACTTTATATATAATTTTCAGAAAAAGAATGATTAGTGCTCCCTGTGCAGTACTAATGTTAACATTATATTTAAAAAAAGGAAAACAAAGAGAACTTGGTTGTGCAAAAAGAAACATGGAACACAGCCACACATACACATATCCGTGCTGGAGAGAAATGACTAATTGTCAACCCCTTTAAAAAAAAAACTTTCCCCACCCAAAAGAAATAAGGATTACAAACAGATCTGAAAGTTTGCTTTCAACACAAGCAAAAAGCAACTGAACACTGGCGTTGAGAAACTACACATTAGTAACTTTAATAACTTCACAGAAAACAAAGGAACCAAGATACATTTATATTTTCCATTACTTTGTAATGCATAAAGTCAAAACAATGAATGCAAGTGATTAAAGCCACATTTTCTAAAAGCAAATGAACTAATTGCAAACACAGAGGAAGAGCACTCTCGTTTTTTGTTTTTTTTAAACAAACCCCTCAAAATCTCAGTGGATATTCTGTTCCACACTTAATTCATTACACCACAGGATTAGTCTTCTTCCCATTTCAAATCAGCCAGATGGCCAATGATGTCACATTAAGATAATAAAGCAGTAATCACATTGAAGCTAGAAAAACTACAGTCACAAAATAACCAAATGCGATCATGGCTTTGTTAAAAAATGCTGTTCTAATTTACAAAAACACGCCGGCCAAAAAAGTATGCACCAGAAAATAGCACATCATGTTTTGAATAGTGCTGAAAATTAAACCTTAAGTGACAATCAGAGATATTCAGAAGGGTAGTTTAATGCAACTAGCACGTCACAAAATACTAGCAGCTGAAAGGCAGTCCTTTGTCCAACATGGAACAAATCTAAACAGCGCCATGCAAAGCCTGTGGAAAGGGTTTTGACCAAGATACAAGTAGAAGCAAATTCTTCCTTCTCTTTCCAGTTCATGGGACACCAAAATAATTGCTGCTATAACCTAATAAGATGGTTGTAGGCACCACTACTCTTGCCTGTCATCTGCCTAAGTGGGCAGGTTTGGCCACTGGTTAGGAATGCAGTGTTCAGACTTGTACCCTCCCCAAGGCTCACCTCTCACACCATTGTGGCATGAACTATTGAGGATCACTGTTCAGTGTTCACTGATACCGGACAAATCTGATACTCTAATTTATGGCCCCTTCCTAACCCTATCATTCCACCTCTCCATTGCAGAGGAAAAATGTCAGCGCTGCTGATCTGGATCCTTTCATGCCCAGAGGCAAGGAGAAGGGATTTCCCACTCCCAAAGTCTAAAAGGTTGCTGAGAAACAAAAGTTTACTTGTATGTTTTACTTTGTTTAAAGTAAATGTTAATATACAAGCCCTTTAGTTTATAATATACAAGGGAATTTAATTTCCTCCTTATCAAACTGTGAAAGGAAGAGAGTGATAAATATTTATCTACTAGATATTAAACCCCTCCCCACTCATCGTAACCAAAGATAGTCAAACAAATCCAATATAGAGTTCTGTTTTGCTTTTTTATTTAAAAAGAACTACTGTTTCTTAGTAAGGTGTAATCCCTGGGAAAGCAAGAAATGCAGAGTAAGGCTTATTTAGAAAAAGTATTGACAAGATGTAATGCAGCCTAGAAAAGTATGTCCTTTGATGATTAAGGTATATTATATGAATTTTTGGCAAACTTCAAACTATCATTCCTCTCAAAGCAGGAAAAAATAACCCAAAAGCATAAATAAAGCAATACTTCTGCTTTTTTTTACTTATATGAAAGCAGTTTGTAGACTGTGCATAATGACATAAGAACAATAGATTCAATTAGGTGTTACAAAAGCACAAAGTAAGTCTACCCTGAAATATGGAGTGAGTTATAACATGATTTATTTCTGTAATGGTCTTACTGTGTCCTTACTGAATAGATGAGCTTGTGCTTACCTCCCTGCAACCCATTGCACTATTCAAATAATCTGATGGGATTCCAGGATACCTCAGCACCATAGTGAAGAAACACTGCTTTATAGCATAAGCCTTGTGCCAAATCTCTGCCAGCATAGGTATAGCTCTAAGAGCAAAGGCTCTGCTACTGGTTGGACAGCCTCTTTTTATAAGGTTCCGGTTCCCTTGCTTTTTAGGTAACTCCCTCAGTGACAAATGCCATGGGAGGTGATCTGTTGCTTGGTTACACGCTCACCTCCTTGAACCATTTCCTCGGGCAGCAACTACTTCATTGTTTTTCTTCACTGTCATTTGAATGTAAGGCCAGCAGATTAGTGATTGATTGATCTGCAGTGTTAATCTTCTATTAGGTACAAGAATTTCTCCTAATATCTTCCTAGAATTTCCAGCAAGGATACAGGGGAGAAAAACAACACTGTAGGTGTAGTAGTCAGACAATAAAAATATTCTCACATAACAAATGGAAGCTGCAGTTTGATAAAGATGCATAAGGTATGGACAAAAGAGCAAGTTACATTGACCTAAAAAACTTACTGTGCATCAGTAGCTCCATAGTAGCAATCCATGTAACCACTTTCTCCCTATGTAAATAAAAACTAAACTCGAGCAGCTTTGTCATTAGTGGAACAAGACTAAGCTTTGCAAATTAGCTTTCACAAACTGCAGGTTAGAGCATGAACAACAACCACAGAGCTGTTGATGCATGGTAAGTCCCTGCTCACCATTAGCTCTCTGTAATGGTTAGTTTCACGTTACCTCTCCAAACTGATGTCACGCATGTACATACACAGATAATTTATTAGCATGTGCTCCATGCTTGAGAAGGTACATAAAAGGGAAAATGAGATACATTAACAGCAATTCTGTTATAGATCGTGAAGTAAGCTTATAGCAACTAAAAGCATTCATATTAAGATGCACAGATTTGCAAGTATATGCATATTTAAATGTTGGATAAGCTCTTTAATACCCAGTACACTAAAATAGTCTCATTTGTATTATTAATAGTATCTCAGTTTCTAAAGTACTCTATTTCCTGAGTCTCACAGTTGGGTGGCAAAATGGCAGCAAAGTCAATTACAATGCTGTAAGCATAGACTCTGGAGGTGGCCAGTGTTTATATACCTTGGATCACCTTCATTAAACACTGATCTCAATAATGTACAATCTTGATGTTACTACAGTTGTATCAAATTAACAAGCCCAAATGTGAAAAAAATCATTGCTCAAAAAAATTTAAAATTAAATGAATACAAACAGCTCTGTTACCAGTCATGCACCAAAAATAAAATAAATATAAGGGTAAAGTTACACATTACACTTAGATCATACTAAGGGCATTTAAAAAGGAGCATCCACATGTTAAACCTTGTTCATTCATGACAAGTTTCTCCCTGAGTGTCTCAAAGTTATGCCACTTCAGGTGAGAGTTAACTCTGGCCCGTGCTACCTAGTTGTGTTTAAGGTAACATCAGGGTGCTCCACAGAGATAAAATGAGTACTTTGCAGTTCTCCAGCATCTCAGGATGCACTGTGCTCAGCCTCCCCCTTTCTTCCCCATCCCCCCAACACAGGGCAGGATTAGAGCCCAGGTGTCCTGGCTCTTAGCCATATCCCTGCTCGCTAGCCCTCTAGTGGCAAGTTAGGGCTGTTCAGGGGAGAAACGGTATTAGTGCTAAACATACGCCTGCTCACAGACTATTTTAACGTTAACACAGCTTAACATTCCTCATTTTTAGTATGGTCTAAGTGTGACATGTAACTTTACCTGGTGACATAAGTGGTCCTTAGCTTGCTGTACTATGCACATCTTAATGCAAGTTACTGCCTAAGATTACATTTCATATATGAATGCTGAGCCCACTGCCAGCACTCTCAGTGGGACAAGATTCCATCCCACATATATTTCGGGACCAAAGCATTAGTCATTCACTTAGGTCAGCATGTATTCTTTCCACCGTAAAGTTATGTAACTCTATTTTGAACAAAAAATAGTGTGGGGTAATTAGTATTGCCAAGTTTGACATTCCCTACAGTAAGTACTTTCCCATATGTCAGGACTGTAAATGAAGATTAGCAATAAGGTCTAACCACTAGTCAAAGGAGTTCTTTTATAAAATTCATAATCGTTTAAAATATTATACATTTATAGGAACAGTAAAACTGATTTTGCCTTTTCATGGAAGAAAGAATTGATTTCTTCAAGCTCCATGACAGTGGGTTACATTCAGTGACAACTGAAATGGTGGTTTAAATTAAGGAGGACATGTATGTAAGTG